ACTGAAATTGACACTTTCGACTAGGATTGGCTAAAGGTTTTACAACTGAGGTTTAACACGCCCAGACGCAGTTTTATAAAGAAAACAGACTAGAAAAAGGTTTGGATACCAATCATAGATGGCAGAACCAGTACTGAGGTGAAAGGAAATATCTTAAAAAAAGTTTTGAAAAAAACATTTCTTCATAGAGGGCGCTTATTTACAGTCTAAAACGTATTTTAGGAATTTTTTCATTAAATTTCTCTTTACACTTCATTAAAGAATACAATTTTGTACAAATAATTGAATGTTATGCTACTATTTATAAAAATAAAATCAGAAATCCATTAAAGGATAAGTTCTCTATCATTTTTTTTCAATTCATAAATGCACACTTGCATTGCCTACTAAGAAAGTTAGTACCGGTAGTCATAGGGATATACTATGTTGTTGTTGGACTTAGTTGTAAAATAGATGTCTGTGACTTGTTATCGATAAATTGAACGATGAATAATCAGCACACACTTTACTTATTTTCAAATAATATATATATATATATATTTCGAACAAGATGGAATATAAATGTGTCTATATTACTTATGAATGTTATATACGACTAAGAGGTGGAATACAAGTCTGTTTATATTACTTATGAATGTTATATACGACTAATAGATGGAATAGAAATCTGCTTATATTACTTATGAATGTTATATACGACTAAGAGGTGGAATACAAGTCTGTTTATATTACTTATGAATGTTATATACGACTAATGGATGGAATACAAATGTGTTTATATTACTTATGATGTTGTATACGACTAATGGATGGAATACAAATGTGTTTATATTACTTATGAATGTTATATACGACTAATGGATGGAATACAAATGTGTTTATATTACTTATAAATGTTATATACGACTAATGGATAGAATACAAATGTGTTTATATTACTTATGAATGTTATATACGACTAGTAGATGTAACTGTTTGAAAAGAGTTGTGTAGACATTACATTTGTTATATATATTGTTGAATGTATCCCTTTGAGTATGTGTTTTATATCAGTTATAAGCTGTTATTGTGTCAGTAAAATTATGCCAACTCCTAGAAATATGACTCCAGGATGATAGAAAATACATCACCAGCTCTATATTAAACACGTATTACAAGTAACACTTTAAGTACATACCTTATGCTGCAATTCGTTGGAGCTCGTGTTAGCTGTTCGAGTGTCTGTAAGAGTAGAACCTGCATGAGCTAGGCAAGGGTGTGGAGCATAAACGTGAAGGGATGTTTCGCTTGGACTTTCTTGTATATTTCGTTCATCTGCTGTAGAATTACCGAGATTAAAAATAAATATATTTTATCACTATTAATGAGTAGCTCTTATTTCAAAAAGAATAAAACTTATTTACATATGCATATTTTAATTACTTCAAAAAGAACCATATTTTGTAATAAGTGTAAACGTAAAGTTCACCTTATTTGGTCAGACTCGGATCGTCTTTATTGCCTTATTTGGGAGCCATTGAAAGGTCAAAATTAGGCTTAGCGTTTAAACTAACTAATATTATTTTGGAGTTTCAGTAGGAGGTAGATTGTTTAAAGAATATACGTTTTAATTTTAGTGGCTTCAAGCACAATGCCTATAGTAGGAGAGTTCAACACGATGCACGAATTTATTTTTAGACAGTTTCAGTTGTGGATTTTACTGCGCTAAAGAATAATCACTTTTAAAGAGAAGTTAAAATGTAAATTACAAACTAATTACTCAAATCTTTGATGGGTATCTCGGACAAACTATTCGTAAGCATTTTAACCGTACAAACAATATATTTAATAAATAAAAGACGTAAAAACTCACTTAAATAGATTCAGAGAAGGCCATAAGTATAAGCTTGAGTTGTTTTTTTTACGTGGTGAAAGATATTGCAGAGGAAGCTCATGTGTATAAGAAAAGCAACGTTATAGATAGGAGTTAACATTCAGAGGAAGCTATTGTGTATAAGAAAAGCAACGTTATAGATAGGAGTTAACATTCAGAGGAAGCTAATGTGTATAAGAAAAGCAACGTTATAGATAGGAGTTAACATTCAGAGGAAGCTAATGTGTATAAGAAAAGCAACGTTATAGATAGGAGTTAACATTCAGAGGAAGCTAATGTGTATAAGAAAAGCAACGTTATAGATAGGAGTTAACATTCGATGGAAATTATCTTGTTTTTAAATTTTGTATAGAAACTGGGAAGAATTTGAATTGATAATATTTGAAAAATTTACTCACCTAAAAATAGAGATTTGTAAGCAAAATACTAACATTACGGCAAAATCAGATAGGATATCAATCGTACGGGGTGGGCGAGAGGAAAATATACAATTACACAGAGTGTGTGTGTGTTTTGTGTCAAATGATTCAACAGCTGTACAGTGTGTGTTTTGTGTCAAATGATTCAACAGCTGTACAGTGTGTGTTTTGTGTCAAGTGATTCAACAAGTTGATAGTGTGTGTTTTGTGTCAAATGTTTCAACAGATTGATGGTGTGTGTTTTGTGTTAAGTGATTCAACAGATTGATGGTGTGTGTTTTGTGTTCAGTGATTCAACACATTGGTAGTGTGTGTTTTGTGTCAAGTGATTCTACAGATTGATAGTGTGTGTTTTGTGTCAAGTGATTCAACAGATTGATGGTGTGTGTTTTGTGTTCAGTGATGAAACAGAGTAATGCAATATATTGATGCTATGTATTCTGTGTCAAGAGATTCAACAAATTGATAGTGTGTGTTTTGTGTCAAACGATTGAACACCTTTATATTGTTTGTATTGTGTCAAGTGATTCAAAAGATTGATCGTGTGTGTGTGTTTTGTATTAAGTGATTCAACACATTGATTGTGTGTGTTTTGTGTGAAGTGATTCAACATATTGATAATGTGTGCTTTGTGTCAAGAGATTTAACAGATTGATAGTGTGTGTTTTGTGTCAAGTGATTCAACAGATTGATCGTGTGTGTTTTGTGTCAAATGATTCAACAGCTTTATAGTGTTTGTTTTTTCTTAAGAGATTCAACAGATTGCTGGTGTTTGTTTTGTGTTAAGTCATTTAAGAGATTGATGGTGTTTTTTTGTTGAGTGATGCAATATATTGATGCTATGTGTTTTGTGTCAAGAGATTCAACAAATTGATAGTGTGTGTTTTGTGTCACGCGATTGAACAGCTTTATAGTGTTTGTATTGTGTCAAGTGATTCAAAAGATTGATCGTGTGTGTGTGTTTTGTGTTAAGTGATTCAACACATTGATAGTGTGTGTTTTGTGTCAAGTGATTCAACGGATTGATAATGTTTGTTTTGTGTTCAGTGATTCAACACATTGGTAGTGTGTGTTTTGTGTCACGTGATTCTACAGATTGATAGTGTGTGTTTTTCGTCAAGTGAATCAACAGATTGATGGTGTGTGTTTTTTGTCAAGTGATGAAACAGAGTAATGCAATATATTGATGCTATGTGTTCTGTGTCAAGAGATTCAACACATTGATAGTGT